AATTGAAATCCCTCAGACTGGTCCTAGGTGACGTTAGGAAACTGTAAGTAATAGCACATGAATATTAACCTAGGTGATTAAATGACGATGTAATGTAATTTGGACTAAATCTGCATTTGTAAAATACCCTTCCCATGCTTTTTTGTGGGGAAGTTGAGCCATAGATCACGGTTGTCAGATGACTCAGTTAATTATTTGTCCATTAGTTTTCATTTCCTAGGGCTTATTGGGGAAAAGTAAATTTACACTGATTTGTTTTATGCAAATTAATCTGTTTGATTTCTTCTTTATTCCCCATTAACACCTGGAAATTTTAAATTAATGTATATGAAACTTGGACACACACAATGAAAATTCAGCCCTGGCACACTGAATACAGGGCTGGTTTGTATTTTTAAAGTAAGTTAATTGTGACCATTTGGACTTTGATTTTAAAATTAGGTGATTTTTATGAAGTGGAAAGTGGTGAAAAGCTTATTTTGTGCAGTTTTAAAAACCACAAGGGAATTAGTACAAACTGAGCATAAAAGTTACCTTAGATTCTACAAATTAGGCTGACTGTTCACCATAACAATATCTGTGTGTTCCCCACCACCCACCCACCTCCCCCTGTCCTCCACACCTGCCAGTTTAGAACACTCATTGGTGTTTCTGAGTTAGATAGATTTTTTTCCCCCATCCTAAGGTGTTGGACATAGGTACATTTTTTTGAAATGTATGCATTAAGGCAAGGCTTTAGAAATGTTTCTTCTAGCTTTGGTGAGATATGGAAGTTAAGGAAACTAATCACTGTAGCAACCAGAGACTAAAAATAAAAAGTAGTTTAGTCAGAATGAGATCGCTTCTGTACTTTCCTCTGAGGGTGATTGGTGGAAGTGATGCTATGTCTTGTAAACACTCCGTGGTTCTCACGTGCTTGGAATGGTGGAGGTGGTCCTGGTTCTCCATCAGCTCATACAGGCCAATGAGCAGGCTTCGTTCAGGACTCAGAAGCCGGATGGCCTCAAGGAGATAAGTGAAGACATGGTGAAGATATGGTAAGCCGGTGGCCAGCCTCTGCCTGACCCTCTAACCCCTGGAACCCAGCAACCTGGCCAAGCGCTCCTGCTCACTCTGTCATCAGGAACAGGCACCAGCTGCCCCAAGCCCAGATGCCATCCCTTTACATTCTTCTTGCTGTGGGTATGGCCAAAATTGTCTCAGATGTTCTGGGCAAACTTTGCAGAACTTGGCTCATTTTAGACTCTAGCTTTCTCAAATTTATTCTTAGCATTAGGCCACCCTTTGATTTTATCCCTGGTCCCAAGACTCCTCCTATCTCATATGTTTATGTATTTTTAACCAAGAAAGTTCTCTAAGTGGCCCTTTGGGATTCTTCTGATTCTGTCTCAATTTCCTGCTTGTCAAGGCCATGTTTAATCAGAGTGTCGGAGACTCCCAAGGGCATTTGGGCTATTTCCCATTTTAGAGTTCCTGCCCAGAGGTCATACTTATCTTCGCTCTCAGTGTTTTGAACTCCGCTTCCTGAGAGCTGAGGATATAGGCCAACCCATAAGCAATATTCTCAGTCTTGCGGATGGAGAGGAACTAGCTAATGGGGCCACTTTCTCAGAACTGAATTCAATTAAATGAAAACAATTATTTATTGGATATTTACTTTGCTCCACATACTTTGTATAAAGAGCTCACTGGGTAGTATGGGAGGCAGACCATTCAACTAATAATCTCAACACAACACAATGGGATAAATGAATCAAACGAAGGTCATGCAATGGATAGCAGTAGTAACAGACGAGAGTGTACTGTGTCTGAGGAAAATGACACAGGCTGGACTCTGTGAGCTAGGTCAACCGCTAGGTCGACATAAAGGTAGAAGGAGTTCTAGGTGGAAGGAGCCAGCCTTATGCCAAGTCCTGAAGACGCGGACTAACAACGTCTGCTGTCACCATTGCACTGATCAGCACTTCCTTTTTAAAAAATTAAAGTTAGCATAGTTGTTATCCTTTGAAAAAAGTATTACTTGTCCTGTTTTGTTCCTAAAGCAATATATGTTTGTTTCAAATATTGAAATACAGAAATATGCGACCTTAGAAAGGAAGGGTCCTCCATAGCCCCAACCTTCAGAGATACGTTATTGTCCGCCTGGGTATATGGGTCTGGATCTGTTTTTCTTATGTATGTGCCAAATTAGAGTCATACTCATTCTTTTACAACCTGTTTCTGAGTACATATAACTAAATATGTTATACTCTATTCTCATTGTTTGGAGGTTTTGTATCCCATTGTCCAGGTGGAGTGGCAGTGCAGTGTAGTAATGAAACATGGAAGCACTGGAGTCAGATGAATCCCAGCTCCACCACCCTTGACTGCATGACCTTAGGTAAGTCACTTAACCATCCTGGGCCTCAGTTTCCCTATGTGTATTATGAGGATCAAAACAGTTGCATCTCAGAAGATTGCTATGATGATTTAAAAAGTGAATAGTAGTAAAGCACTTAGAATAGCCCCTGACACGTGGTAAGTCCTCTAAGTGTGAGCCCATACTACCACAAGGTGTTTGTTTAACCAGCTCCCTATTGATGGACGTCCATACCATTTCCAATTCTTTGCATGCTTTGGCTACTAAAGAAACTCTCAAGGTGGGGAGGGATAAATCGGGAGTTTGGGATTAGCAGATACAAACTACTATATACGTAATAGATAAAGTTTCTACTGTATAGCACGGAACTATATTTAATAGCTTGTAATAACCTGTAATGAAAAAAAGTATGTACACGTGTATGACTGACTCACTTTGCTGTACACCAGAAACTAACACAACATAGTACGTCCGCTAGACTTCAATTTAAAAAAAGGAAAAAAGAAAGAAACTTCCAAGGCAAGTTTTGAATTTCCCTTCATATCTGTTACATTTGGGCTCCTCCTTACCAGCTCGCGGACACCCAGCACTTACTTATAAGCACTTAGCAAACGTGTCCTCCTGTTGTTGACTCCCCCACCCCAGGGGCAGCCCAGAACAGGGTGGTTGGGGTGCAGCAGAGCGGCTTCCAGGTCAGATCCAAGAGACTCCACGGCAGGTTTTCCTTCTGCAGAGAGGCCATGCTGAGCAGAGACTGGGAAAGGAAGCAGCAAGACAGGGATCCAAGTGGTGGAAGAGTAGGTCAAGCTGGAGGCTTGAACTGGAAAGAAGCCAGAGAAAGAGTGCAGGCCAGAAACATATGGCCAGAGACAACCCTGAAGACAGAGAGTTCCAAAGGATGCCTTGGACACCAACTCTTTTAGCAAATAAGTATAGTAGACCTTCCCTAGAGATGCTTCTCTACATGTCGTTCTCATCAATCCGCAGATACAAACGAAGTGATGTTGATATCAGTTCCCAAACTACAAGACCCTTCCCCCTCTTGCTCACCCAGGAACTCAGCTTTCTCCTCCCAGTCTCCTGGAACCATCTCTGGGAGTCAAGGGTTGGGATTCTCATACGCTCAAGGACCAACTTACTCCAGTTGGCCTGCTCTGGTCTGTTCGCCAAGGTGCCTCCCCAGCCACAACCTCAGGTGCTGCAGCCACCGCGGAGAGCCTGCTGGGCCACTTCCTCCTCACCCCCACCCTCCACCTGGGGGAGGTGTGCTTGGCTGTGTTCTTTGGCAGAATATGTGTAGGATGGGTTGTGGGGTCAGAGAGGGGAATGACCCTATCTCCAAATCTATGTCTAGAGTCTGTCGTGAATTTAACTCCAGTTATGTCTCTCCCTAACCCCAGTCTCTGCTGAAGTTCCAAACATGTCCCCTGAGGCTGAACTGAGGAAAGGGAAAGGTTGACATGTTTCAGCCGCCCCTTCCAATGTGCTATCTGCTTTATCTCTTTAGTCACTCATGAACAAACACTGACTGTCCGTTGTAGTGGATTGAATGTAAAATTCATCCCAGTTCATTGCCCTTTTCTGTGTCTGTTCCCTTTGCAGTAAGACATTCAGCTCCTCCAGTTCAGGAGTGGAATCTCTCCCACTCCCTTGCACTGGGGCTGATCTGGGACTGGCTTTGGTCAGCTGAATGGGGCTGAAGGGATGGTGTGTTGGTTCCAAGCCGGCACCTCGAGAGCACTTCCTTGAGCACTTCCAGCCACTCTCTTGGCTCCTCAGCATGTCCTAGAACAGCCCGGGTCAGACTTCTGTAGTGTTCCACTGGGCTGTGGATGGACCTCCTTCCGGGCGGGGGGCCTGCACTTAACTGTCTGCCAGTCGAGCAAAGCTGCCCATAGCCCAGCAAATGGCTGTCACAAAGCAACAGGCCACTAGCTGGAAGGACAGTCAGGCCACAGGTGCAGAAAAAGCAATAAAAAAAATAAGCTGTTGATGGCTGATCTCTAGTTCTGTTTAGCCTTTTGAGTGATTTTAAAAAATGAGGCTGAATGTAGAAAAGTCCTTCTTAACCTGATAGCTTAGCCTCTTGGTCCAGTTGGGGTAGTTAATGGGCTGAGTTCCTGGAGGTGGTTAATGTATGCCTGCTTCCTGGTGGCCTTTTCTGGACATTTTCCGCTACAGTCACGGTTATAGAGGGGTGGGCCTAATTGTTTGGCACATTGGACTGGGGTGATTTGGGACAGGGGGAATGCTGACTTGGTATAAAGGAGGTGGTTGGGGATCTGGGCTTAGGATTGGTTGGATTGCATATCAACATCATGCTTACAAGCTAGTTGTTTGCTATCTCTAGGAGTTAGCTAGCCTGGAAAAGGTAATCCCTCCTCCCCAATCCCAAAGACCCCAGTGTATTAAAGCATCATAAAACACAGAAAATAAAAAGCATGATTAATACAGCAAGCCAAGAGGACATGCATCCCTCTGCCGTCAGCCCTGACAGACTGAATTGCCAGGAACACTTTACAACCTCTTTCAAGGCCACGCACGTGAGGACTCAGTATTCTGACCCCTAAATATTTACAAAAGTCCTTCTTGCCATCTCGCTGTAGTTCTCCTGACCCAGAGTCATTCTTTGCTTTTTCAGGAAACACACAGGATTAAAGTCCAGGGCTGGGACTTCCTTCTCTGGGTGTTTGACAAGGACTGACGTACTCTAGGTCTTTGAATCCCGGAAGTCCAGGACACACCCAGCCTTGGGTGCAGCATCCTGAGTGCCGGAGCGTAGGTGAAAGGACGGAAGCAAACAACATTTCAACATGAGGGACCCGCTGACAGACTGCTCGGTGAGTAGCTCGGTGTGTTTTGTGTGCCTGTGTGTGAGGGCAGCTGAGTTGTAGATTTTTGTGTTAATGGATTTTAACTTAAGAAATTTGAAATGCTCAGAAGCCAAACATGTTTAGATATTAGCACTGATAACAAGAGTCTGGTTTTTCTTTGGTTCAATTTAAAACAGAACTCTTTATCTAGCAAATGACAGGGCAGGTCATTGTCGTCTTTTATTCTCATATTCTTGGGAAAACTTTGAGTGGATGTAGCATTATATTTGCATGCAGATGGTAGCTGTTTGGGAAATATTCTTAGAACGTATAACAGTGGTGCCAACCTTGTGCATAGAGTGGACACACAAACGTGCAGAATATCTGCAGGCAAAATGGGAAGAATGAAGTCAGGGTGGAAAGTTTTCTCGTATTTTCTGTATCATTTAGAGTCAAGAACTGCGAGTCCGAGGGAGGAAGGACAGACTCCCCACTCTGTCCGACCTGCTGTAGTTCTCGGACACATTTACCAGCATGTTTGTTTAAGCCCTGGGAGCAGTACCAAAAATAGAAGGTTGATCAAAAGTCCAAAGACATTAAGAGGTCATTAGCTGCAACAACAGAGATGTAATTTAGGAAATGAGGAGCAATTAAAATAAAGAAGTGGGGGGGGAAATAAAGTAGTCAAGGATAGTCAATGTGTTATCCCAATTAATCGTGCCAAAAGCTAAAACCAGTTACATCAGAGGCAAGGGGTTGCATTCATCCTTCAAGTATTTTATTAAAAACAAAGCGAAACAAATTGTGGAGAAGCAGATAAGCAGGGGCTGTCGTGAAGCCATAAAGAAAAAGATCAACAGAGAATCATTTGTTTCATTTGTGTTTATTCAAGGGCTGTGGAAAGTGCAGGCTTAGCGAAGATGACACTGGCCAAGAGTTTGTTTGCTGTTTTGGGAAAAATTATTTGTGTCGGGCAGATTGTTGTGCAGGTTGGGGGGAACTGGGTTGGGGGTTATTTTCTACTTTTTTTTTGTACATTTGGAACAATGACAATAAAGGAGCCCCCTTTTAAAAAAACAAACAAAAACTATGACTGTTGTCCCACAAAATGAGTTTGGCAATCAGACCAGCTAAATGAGATGTAGTCATAGTGACCGGTAATATTAACAAAGACAAGGAGGGGGAGGGTATAGCTGAGAGGTAGAGTATTCACCTAGCATGCACAGGGTCCTGGGTTCAATCCCCAGTATCTCCATCAAAATAAATAAATAAACCTAATTACTCCCCCCCAAAACAACAACAACAAAACATTTTTAAAAAATAAATAAATAAAGACAAGGCAGTGACAAGCTCTGCTTACTTTTACTTTTTTAAACACAAAGCTAATATGTGTCTAATGTAAAGACAAACACTAACAATACAATTGCATCCAGATTTTAGGAGTGAAACCTCCCTCTTTGCTTTCCTCCGCCCCCATTTCTCCCCATTGGTAGGCACAGATAACTTTTCAAAAAGTCTTTCATCATCAATGTATTTGTTGTTGGTGGTGGTGGTGGTTTGTTTTTTTGTTTGTTTGTTTTTTGTTCGCTTGTTTGGCTCCTTGTATTTGATCTCTTACCGATGTGTTAACTCTTCTCCTTTCTCCCCATTGATACTTGGGTGACGTTTTGGCCTAAGGATGGGAGAAGTGGAGGCAAAAACTTGGCACCCACAGTCACCAAAGAAAAAAGTCAACACCAAGGGAAGAATGAGATAGTAAATTGAAGCCAGATTAAGTTCAAAAAGAAAAAAAAAAAAAACTGGAAGCCTAGTATCCTTTCCCAAAGCTGCCTTCAGACCCAGAATGAGGAGAAAAGTTTCCTTTTGAGCAGCCCCCGAGGCAATCCACCGCCCCATCTCTGTCAGCTTAATGCTCCCTCCCTGACAGGCTGACGAGTCCTGTTGCCTATGCTGAACCATTGCCCCGAGGACTCCTGCCCTTGTCCACGAACTTGAAGGTCATTTCTATGGGCCCAGTGCCACCCAAGGTCATCTGGGAGACCAGAGAGGGCCGATATCCCTTCAGCCAGGGTTTCGGAATCCTTTAAAGTCACGGAATCCTTGCTTACTTGCAATTGTTTCATCTTCATCAAGAGTTCAAGTTGATTTCCTGGTGCCGTCCCAGTTTGTGCTTGGGAAACAATGCTGTGGGAAGATGAGGCTGCAGTTTGGGAACAGAATAGAAACAAGGGAATGGACTGCAAAGATGCTTTGGGAAACGCTGAGATAGTTTCACGGGGAAACCAAAAAGAAGCCAAAGCTTTAACCATTTGCAAAATATTCCATTTCATGAGTCCCTAGAAACACAATTAATTCACAAAGCCTTAGCTCAGCTCCAGTTCTTAACATGGTCAACTCCAGTAGATCCACATATAGAAACCAATGGGCTGCGTGACCTTCAATGGGGAAAACGTGATCTCTTTATTTGTGTTAGTTCCTAACTGAAGTTTAGAATTTCCTTCAATTTTGAATATAAGCAGCCAACTCTAATACTACTGCAGTGTCTGTGACCTTGTAACCAATAAAAATCACATATATTTTTATATAACGTTACAGTTGTTTACAGATACCTAGAAATACTGTTTACTCACACTCATTGGGACTTAGAAATTTGGGTAATTCTTGAGACTTGTTATTTAGTATGTTAATTAAAGAGCACGTAAAATATTGTGATTTTAAATTATGTTTTTAAAATATATATATCAATATAATTAGTTTCCCTTATGATCCTATTTTGTTTTATGCATTTGAAAAATACTATTCTGAGTAAAATAGATTTCACCAGACTGCAGAAAATTTAAACACCTTTTAGGTCATGCTCCAGTGGGCAAGATGGGCTGATAGTGGGGCTATTCAACTTCAAAGAGCCTGTTTAGTGTCCATGCTCAAATTGTCAGTCACCAGGGTGGCACAGATTGCTTAAATGCTGTGCAGGGCTTTTAACTAATCTTAGAAGCGTCAGAAGTTATCTGAAGAAGATTTTTTAAAGTTCTGTTTTTGAAAAAGAAAAGAATTGGCTCTGGGCCTTGATGCCTTAATGCCTGTGAGCTTAGCTTCTAAATCCATGTGTAAGGAAACAGACAGGATGGAATTATCTCCAAATGAAATAATCTAATCATTAAAAAAAAAAGTAGCACCTTCCTAAGAAACACCACCATAGAAATCAAAAGCAAATAATAAGCTATAACCAAGGTTTTGCTTTTGCTCACTCCTATGGGTCCAGGTAGGGACTTGTCAAAGCAGGCTTTCCTGGGTCCACACAGTCAGCCTCTTCTCTTAACTTCATCAGCTGTTGAAACAGTATTGTAGAGCTGCCCCTTCAGCCTGGTTCACATGCCAAGCTGAGCATCTCAGTTGGCTCAGCCTGGGTCATAGGATGTTAACTGTTACTAATAGAAAAGATGCTAGGGTAGTGGTCTTTGGCTACTGGGGGATTGTGGGATGCTGCAGAGATAAGAAGGCAGGCTGGGTCTGGTTTGAATGTCCTTGGCCCGTAGCACACCCAGTGTGCATCAGTGAGCTATGTGATGGACTGGTCCACATTTCATGGGCCTCTGTTTCCTCATCTGTAAAGTAAGGGGAGGAAGAGGATGAAGTAGACTGACCTTTAATGTTCTGTGTCTCATAATCTATGACAATAAATACAGTAATCCATTAGTCTAGAAGAGCAGTACTTAGAAATACCACATCACATGAAATCAGTAGCACAGTTCCTGGCATGTGAAAGGCAACTAACAAAAGCTTATGTAATTAAATTTAAGTGGAATATCATGGTTTATTTAACACTATGAGGACTATCATTGAAGGAAAAAAACCTTTTCAGACTTGCACCTTGAATAAAAATGAATTTTTCTAGAATAACTGAATTTAACCTTCTTCATCATTCAAGTCAATGTTGATATAGTGCTTTTTTTATTGTTACAAGACATTTGTCTAATCATTTCATGTGGTAATTGCCTAGGTTACTAAGTTCTTCGGTAATGATATTTATCCAAGAGAATTTGCTTAGAAGCACATTTTCCTAATGTGAATGGGAAATGTCTGTATACAGCAGTTGTCTATATGAAGGAATTTTTAGAGTCTCAGAAAGATCTGACATATTTATTTCTCCACCAGCCTGCAATCCTTTTATCAGGGAAAAGAAAATCTATAACTTTTTTCCTAGTAATTAACGACCCTAGGGAAGAGCAGCATGTTAATATAAATTTATATGGAGATGTAAGATCAATAATGGGTTCTTTTCTGGAATGAATATTTGGTAGAGGGTAGGGCTACCAAAGCTCAACAACGGGAAAACACCAAAAATTCAGCTTCCACGTTACTTTGAGTAAAGCAACCCCTTCTGTGCTGGTTGATGACATTAGGAAGCTAGCTGCACTGCTCATGATACTGAGAGGCAACTACCACTCTGAGTTCATTTAGTGTGATTATACTGATTAGCTGTGTGCAAGTATATTTATTTCTGATGGAGTCTCTAACTGATTTGCTCGCCTAACATTTCTAATCACAGTTCTGTCCCTAACTAATGAGGTTTATCTTTCGCTGTTTGGGCCCTAACTATAAAATAGGAGGATTGGCTTTAGTGGTTTCCCAATTGTGCTCCATGGAATCCCTTCAGAGACCCCTCTGGTGGGTGAGAGAGGGGTGGGGAGTAGAGGAGGGAAAGGAAGGGATAGCCTAAGCCGAGGTCAAGGGATTTCATCCTGTCAAAGCAGGTAAGTTCCAAGATTTTCTGATTACACACACACACACACACACACACACACACGCTGGATGAAGTGGTCTCGTGGGGTCTGTCTTTGATTGTTTCTGCAGGTCTGTTTTTCACAGCTTTTGTCTTCAAGTCTGAGTAGATGGTATAAGATGAAAGATACAGAATCATTGTATCTAAAAAAGGGGATACACTGAAATAATGGAAGTATTCTTAGCCACTCTCTTATTTATTGATGTCACCCTTATCTCAGTCTGGATCAGAGTTTGTTGGGGAGTGTCTGGTATTGTACATAAAGTCAAAGATAAAGATTCTCCCCAGTGCTATAATAAGCAGAACATCCCGCTCTTATCTGATCCCTAAGTTAACAACAATGTAATGTTTTGAAGAACTTGCTGACTTGTTGTACCTGGGCACACTGGGGTTTGGGGAATGGATCACAGCAAGGTGTGCCTGGGAGGCAGAGGTCATGGGCAAGTTGCCTCTGCCTTGAAAAAATGTGTCCATTTCCCACCTTGTTCAAGTACCAATATCATCATCTACATGTACCACGATGTGAGAAAAAGTTAGGAAGTACTAGCCTATTCAATGACCAGAAAACTTCCAAAATCTAAAACTGCAGCCCCAGGGGCAGTTGAAGCCGTAAGATGTGCTTGGTTGGAGTAGACTCTTGCTTTAGAAAGTTGCATCTGAATGCCTTGGGAAAAGACAGGCGGTCTCCACATTGCCACAGCTCACCCTCCTCTCCTCTTAAGACAACTGAGTTTTGAACATTGGTTTATGAACTTTCGGAGCTGTCTGGCTTCCCGGGAACTAGTCCTCTAGAGATAATATTTTTTAAATGGGTCTTGGAGAGTTCTGATGGCTAGATAAGTTTGGGAAATGCGTTGGCATCTGCAGCCTCGGGACAGGGAAAAATTTTTCAGCTGATTCTGCTTACTTCCGCTTTGGTTAGAGGCAAGGTTTCCCCTGCCTGTCCCCATCCTCACACATGGAGTCTGAGCTCCCCTGTTCTTTCCCTGGGACTGTTGGACACAGATCACCACCTCTGGTAATGATGGGCAGCGGGGGATCTATGCCTTAAGACAGCTCACCTCAGAGTCCCCTCCCTCCACTCCTGCTTGTCCTGATGGGAGTTTCTTCTCCTCCCTTATGCTCCAAAGACTCAATCCCTCCAGCCATCTCTCTGCTTTGTCTTCTCCCCGCCCCAGCCTTATAGTGTTTGAGAGCAGAAAAATTCACTTTTCAGGCGTGCATTCAAATCTTTCTTTCCTGCACATGGCCCCTAATGTTTTTGGTGGGTCTTTGTTTCTGCTTTGGTGTGAGCTGGAGAGAGAAACAGATAGGACACTATTTAAAAATACACAGCTTAATACTGTGTAATTCTGTGAGATATTTCTAAATAAATCAAATAAGAATGCAAAAGGACCTATAAAGAAAATCATAAAATTTTATTGAACATAAAATAAGATTTGAACGAAATGAAAAGACTTTCTATGTCCTTGGATGGGAAGTCTAAATACCATAAAAAAGTTAATTTCCTCAAATTGAGATATATAAATGTAATGCAATTCCAATTAGGATCTCAACAGGGATTTTTTTTAGATGGTAATTAGATAAATGTTCATATAGAAGAAAAAATGCCCCAAAATAGTCAAAGAAATTTTGAAAAAGAAAAAATTGTTGTTTAAAAAGAGAGTGGAAGAAAAGTGTCAGTATCTCTGTAACTCACTTAGGTAGTATTTCATTATTACTTTATGAAACATAAAAATGTCTCATAATTTAAAATAAAAAGTTAAAAGACTCTATATGAGTTAGAATTATGTTAGCTGCATGTTTTAAAAATCCAAAATGAGTGGCTTTTAAAAAAAACCTATTCTCTTTTACATAAAATAAGTCTACACGTAGAGAGTTGGGGGCTTGTGTGGTGGCCCCCAGGGCATCAGGGACCCAGCTCTTTCTCTCCTTCTGCTCTAAGATCTTAGCACATGGTGTCCATCCTCACAACCACCTGACAGCATCAGCTGTCATTTCTAAGTCCTGGTTTCAGGAAAGAGGAGGAAGGAACTTTCACTGAAACCCAACACAAAACTTTCCACCCATACCAATTTGGGAAGCATTTAGTCACATGGCTACACTCAAGGGTGAGAGAGGCTGGGAGATGACTTCATTCCTGCTAATCATTCTCTATTTTCTTCCCATGATACCTAGGTGTGTTTTAATGGATGCTATTCAGTGTCATGGGAAGAAAATAAAAGGCTTAAGGGAGAATTTAGTGAAAATGTTTGGGTAACAGGAGTACCCAAAAAAGCTAAACAATTAAAAAATGCTGACCAAACTCTCCCATTGCACTTGTAAGGGGAGGAAGGAGACTTAAAGTATTATGTCATTCATCGATGGCAGGTTATGTTCATAGCAATAAAAATGAGAAAGCTTGGTTGCCAGACACTGATTTTACTCTCACAACTCAGAGGAGAATTGGTCCTTCCTGACAGAGGTTACACCTGGACTGTACTTACAGGTGCATTTTGCTCGCTTGGCTTAAAATTTTGTGAATTGTTGGCTGCAGTTGTATGTTAGATACCAATCCTCATTTCAGCTTTTTTGGACAAAAAAGCTGGTCGGTAGTTCCAAGCTCTTGTGGTAGCTGTCCCTCCAGCTCCCTGTCCCCACCCTGCTCCTCCCTCTTCTGGGCGCCTGGAGGGTGCCTGCAGACACGTGACTTTGCCAGCCTCGCTTTAGGATTAACAGTGTCCTTCTAAAGACCTTTGTGCTTGAGCTCTTGTCATCGTTTCAGTGAAGTTGTTTGCGACTACCGTGTGTCACCAAATCCTCCCTGGCTTTCTGTGTTCAACTCAGGGGAAAGTTAAACTACTGCATAAAAATAAAAGGATTTGGTGTCTATAGGATTGTCTTTACATCCTAGGTCTGGGTTGGTTCCACCCCTGAAGGTAGGGGCCTGGATTAGGTCATTTCTTTAGGTCTTTCTTCCTCTGTGCCCTATGTCCTCTGTGGCTCTGCTAGCCCTGTACACCACGTGCTGCTGTGACAACTGAAAGGTTGCCTGGGCCCCGAGGGTCCACGTATGGCAACATGCCTGCCACATAGCAGGTGCTCAGGAAGTGTGAGTTCCCGTCCCTTCCCTTTCTCAACACGGTGACCAGCTGAGTGCCAGAGACATTTGAGGGCTGGAAGGGGCTGGGTCATTTTATGAGCAAAGGGCTACAGCATGGCACTCAGTCTACACAGAATTTGCATCCTCTTATATAAAATCTCATTTTGAAAAAATGCAATTGGCTATCGCATCTCCCAGATTGGAAACACAGAGACAGTGTGTGTTTGAGACCCCATCGCCTCACTCACCTGCTCTGTGTCAGGAAAGCAGCAGAATCAAGTGACATATACCCTCTCCATCCAGGCATTTAAAATCAATCGTCATCAATGTCTACCTTTACCGATACAATTTTCAGAATAACATTGTGGAGTTCTAAAGCACATGACAGAATCTTTCGATTGAAATTTTTGTGTCTGCAGGCTAAATTCATAGAAAAATAAATGTATAAAAATGATTTATAAATTTATAAATGTTTGGTTCATCCAGAATGTTCAACTCATTATTATAACATTTCTTTTACTAGAGTTAAATGAGATCTAGAGGGGGCTAGGAGAAGTTTTATTAACACATTATCCGCTTACATTTTCCCATCTCAGCCAAGAAATACTTGAATGATTCAGGGTTTGTCATGAGGTCCAGGAATATTATTTTGGAATTTGTGGGGGAGACACAAAATGAATATGCAGTGTATTTCAGAATGTACTTTTAGCCTTCCTGAGACTAATAGGGGTGACAGGAAGTCAGATTCCAAATGCACCCCACTGCTGAATTGTTTGCGTTTGGCCTAGGAAGAGACAGACAGACCAGCTTTATTTTTGAGAAGGGTTCCCCAGGATCTTTCACATCCAGGCAGAAGAGACTTCATCTTTAAGAACTGATGGAGCGATCACTGGCGTTGACAGTCGTCAGTACAGCAGCGTTCGGTGTTCACAGGAGTCCAGTCTTTGGAAGTGCTAATCCTTTGATGCATCTTTTCTTTTTCAGTATAATAAGGTTTACAAGAACCTAAAGGAGTTTTCCCAAAATGGAGAAGATTTCTGCAAGCAGGTCACATCCATTCTTCAGCAAAGGTACAAAACGCATGTTTGCACTCAGCTGTGCCTCCTCCTGAGCTGCTGGGAGTGACGTGACTGGAGGAGTGGTTAGAGCTATCCTACTTTCTAGAGCACAGTGCTATATTTTGGCAGTTGAGAAATTGGTTTGAAGAGTGATTCTCTGAGATTGCACATTTAACACTTGGGTGCTATAAAAATCAGGAAACAACTGGGAGTGATTCTGCTTGGGAAGGCTTGGTCCAGTTCCTTCGGATTCCTGGGACCGAGTTTATCACCCCCTCCTGGGCCCCCCAGTGTACCTGACACATAAGCCTGTCATCCCACTCCTCACGCTGATGGCAGTCCCCCCTGCGAGGGCAGTGCTCTGTGTGCCAAGCTCTCGGAGCCTGGCTTTTTGACCTCTTCAGTAAATGTCTGTTGACCAAATGCATGGATGAATGAGAAGTCACGATTTTCAGTATCATCTTCTCTTAATACTAGGTGTGATCATGTGTAAAGCTGTGCTGAGATGAGCACACTCAATCCAGTCAAGAAAGTTACAAAAATTCCTGCTTAAAACTAGAGAACCTGAGGACTGAATTGGGCCATAAAGGGTTTCTTGGCTGTTTCCCTATGTCTAGGCAGCTCTGTGAGAGACTCTAAAGAGACCTTCAGAAGAGATTGTTCTTTCTTTTAAAAGACCCCATTTCAGATGTAAAATATGGAATGTGTGCTGTAAGAACAAAGATGCCGGAGTCTATTGCATGTTGTGTTAGTAGGTCAGAAGCAAAGGAAAACCTTAGCTCTGTCAGGACCAGTGAATGAGGCCAAGGAAAGATAGAGAGCTCAAACAGACTTTTTTTTTCTTTCTTTTTTTAAAATTGAAGTATAGTTGATTTACAGTGCTGTGTTAGCTTCTGCTGTACAGCATAGTGATTCAGTCATACATATATATGTATTCTCTTTCATGATAGGTTATTACAAGCTATTGAATATAGTTCCCTGTGCTGTACAGTAGGACCCTGTTGTTTATCTATTCAAGCATATTTTTCTAAAGAAAATAACCAGGTTTGTCAAGTGAAGTCAAAAAAAAAATTTTTTTTTATTGAAGTACCGTCAGTTACAACGTGTCAATTTCTGGTGTACAGCACAATGTCCCAGTCATGCATATACATATATATATTCGTTTTTATAGTCAAAAAGAAAAAAGATTTAAATCAGAAGTGACTTTTATCTTAAGAGCCAAATTGCTTTGATTCTATGAAAAGAAGAGGGAGGACCCATCTAGGAGGGAATTTTTTCTATGAGAAAATATTTCTATCCATCTCAAAGGAAGTGATTTAAAATAAGACCAAGTAACTATTATACAAATTCAACCCATTACCTAGGTTAGAAAGCATCTCCTTCGTGCAGATCAGGAAGAATCTATATACAGAGTAGCCATACAAGTGAGCTGGGTTGCAGTCAGCGGGGCCTTGATTATTTGGTGTCTCCAGGTTCAAAGCTAGCTGGGTAGAGAGCTGTGAAGATGGAAAGGAGGTGATAAATAATGCCGGGTAAACAGACTCAACGAAGAACTGAACGTATTTGGGGGAATTACTTCTCCAAACTAGCCTTATTGTTTCTCCCTTGTCCAAGTCACTCCACATCTCCGCCCTGCCACAGACGTACCTACTTTATGTACAAGTCAGAACCTTCATTTCTTACCTGTGTTTCTCTTGACATTGTTTCCTTCTGTCCCAGACCTATTAATGTGCAAAACTGTCCACCGACATGTTCTAGAATGTCAAATGAGCTCCAAGGAAGGAGAAACACTTGGGTAGCTAAAGATAACCTCCCCTCGTGGTTTTCCCTCCTCATGGAGCAGAATTCAGAATTTGAAAATCTAAAGAATACAGCTGGCTAGCAAAACCACGTGCACGTCTCTGGGATAAAAACTGCATAGCATGAATACAGAAAGGGGGGGCTAAAGGTTTACCCAGGTCAAAAAAATTATGCCAGATATTAGGTCGTTTATGCAATTGATGGTTTCCTGAACAACTTGTAAAGCTACCCTCTTACAGTTAAATCATTTCCCCTTAACCAAGATGCCTTGTGTGAGTCGCTTTATGTTCATTCCCGAGACATGTGCACTTGGCAGTGTCTCCTCACACTTGAGCTTGAGGCTTTCTTCCTCTTGCTCAGCTGTTTGATCATGTAGTTAACCTGAAGGATGTTCAGCCACACTAAAAGAGCACATGTCTGGCGAGAACTGTTTTCTAATGGACATGAACTCTCCACTAATCTATGTGGCACATTATGTGCTTTTTTTTCACCAGCTGTTTCCCCACATGTCAGCTGGCAAAGACTGAGGCCACCTCCCTTGCCAAGATTGGGTCATTTCTTCCCCTTGGGGAGTGATTCTGAAGTCACTCCCTCTTCCTACAAGGTGTTTGAGCTTTGAGAACATAGTTACCATATCAAAGGATGAATGGTCACAACTGAGCTGGCATTACACTCGCCTCCGTCTTCCCCTTCTGTGAAATCAGTAATTATTTCCCTAGATATACAAGTAATAAAGAACTGTTTCCTACTAGTTATGCAGACAGGAACCCTGGGTATATTTTCCTCTTAAATGGGTAGGCTTATTGCATATGAATCAATGATACTGTTCCCTTGTATTAGAAAAATACCTGGAAAGTCAGTACTCTTTGAAAGAAGCTATCATATTATTTAGAGTATAAACAGGTAATGGGAAACTCCGTTGGACAAGTAAAAGGGTACTCTCTAAGAGCAGGCATTTCCACTGAGGTTAATGCATAGAAAATCATAAAGGCAAATCCAGTAGCCAGCATAATGAGAGATTTAGTGAGGGGCATATGGGGCTTCTTTGAATTAAGGGTACCTGCCACATAAAATACATTCAGTAAATACCTGTAGATTGAATGAATAAGTAAATGAAAGCTAGTTAAGTGTTTATTTTCTTATTATTACACCTACATTATTAGAACAAAGTCTTACTGTCCTGGGATATTTACAATTCCAGACATCTTGAATCCATTGGAATGTGGTTCCGCTCAACACTTCTGTATTAGCTCGTGGCTCCAAGAGACTGCATCCCAGTCAAGCTTTGAGGCCAAATCATGTTTTATTTCCAAGCTCAGCTGCCTTCTTGCATTTGTTCTAATTGGGTGATCGAAAAGTGTTGCTATTGAAACACCAGTTTGCCTGGAAATTCTTCAATTCAGGGTTGTGCTTAGCTCCTTTTATCCAATTAGTTGCTTCAGTTTCCTTTTTTGTAGTAACAATTCAGATTTAGCCAGAAACACACAGCAGCTCCTAAGATGCCTAATGCCAAAGTCATCCGGTTCACTTCATCATAATCACAGATCAGATTCAAAAAGACAAAGGCACATTTTCAGAAACTATCTCTGAGTGTTTGGGTACCCGCACCCTCACAGCTAGTGTTTAAACAGGCTTTGATAGGAAGAATCAATTTTTCCTCTCTAAGGAAACTTCAGACCAGATTTTCAAATGGCAAGTACCACCACTGCAGACATAACTTTTTTAATTAAAAAAGAAAAGAAAAGAAAAAAACAAAGAAGGAAGCGTAGTTGGTCATTGTTCCATCTATAATTCATTGCATATGCTGTCAACAAAAGAATAGATGTTTGAAAGGAAATCTTTAATAAACCCTCACCTTCTCTGCTCTACCAATAGCCTGGTGATCTTACTTCCCATAATTTCAGCTCTTTTTTGCATGTTGATGACTCCATGTGTATATTACTAGACGATATGTCTTACCTGTACTTCAAACCATATATCCAGCAGTCTGTTGGACATTTCCAGCTAGAAATGTCCCATGAAACCACAAAACAGAGCTGATCAGCTTTTCCCCAAAGCTGGTACCCTTCTAGATTTTTATTGTGATGGCTGGGACCTTTGTCCACCCAACGAAGCCCAGTACTTAGTAACCACCCATGACCCCTTCTTCTGTCTCAGCTCATGACCAGGACTGCATATTTCTCTCTTCCAAACACCTCTTACACCTTCAGCTTTCTTTTCATTTCATGGCCTGTGCCGTTGCTCTGACAAGAATCTCCTAACCTGTCCTTCTGTCTGGGATACTGCCTTGTAGCTGTGCAGTCTGTGTACTGCACAAGGCACCTGGCTGACGGGCTGAGTGAAGGCGGAAATCGAATCCACTCTTCATCCATCAAGTCTGGTATCCAGGCTCAGAGCTATGTCCCTTCAGAGGATCTCCTTTTTCTAATCCAGGCAAGTTGCCTCAACTAGGGAGCATCTAATGCATCTTCCACTTTGTGGCCAGGACCCTGTTTAAGACCCTTCAAAGACTCCCATGACCTTTAATATAAAATTCAGCGCTCGTAGTATCTCTTAAAAGGAACTTTAAGATGTGGGCCCTGCCTTCCTCCCCGGCTTGTCGCTCTTCACCTCCCCATGACCCCCACATCTCTCCATCTCACTCATAGTCACTGCTTAAAGAGCCACCTGCAGTCACCTCCATGAGTCCTTGCCTCCCCTCCGAACTGTCATCATGGATCCCAGCATTTGTACCTGCTGTCTCCTCTGTCTTGTGGACTTCTTCACTGTCATCGCCAGCCTCCACTCAGTGCATTCCTCAAGACTCAGTCACCCAACTCTGGTGGCCCTTCCTTGACTCCAGTCCCCAGTCTCAGAAGAAGGCTCCTCAGAGATGTGCAGGTCTAGTGCTTACCTTTGCTATGTATGGCTCTACTCTCCTTCGCTGTTACTTTCTGTTCACTTGTCTATCCCCACTGGAGGCTGAAATTCTTGAGGAGCTTGGTGTCCCACGTGACTAGCACAGAGCCTGGTACAGAGCAGGCATTCAGCAGATGTTCACCAAGTGAATGAATGTATTCATGTACGAGTGACTCTGGGCCTTCAGGCACTCACAACTTTTAAGAAGTTTAAGTTAGGCTATTTAGGAGGAGGAATAAATGGGTGTGTCAAAGAAACTTACCTACATAGTGTATAGAACATTATTTTGAACAAAAGCTAGAAAAGAATAATAA